CTCTCTCACTCCCTCTTTCTCATTCTCTCACTCACTCATTCTCTTTCGCATTCTGCTTCTCTCATTCACCCTCTCATTCTGCCTCTCTCTCACTCATTCACTCTCTTTCTCATTCTGCCTCTCTCACTCACTTACTTTTTCATTCTCTCTCTCACTCATTCTCTTTCTCATTCTGCTTCTCTCACTCACTCATTCTGCATCTCTCAGTTGCTCTCTGTTACTTTACGTCATATTCTCTCATTGTCGTTCTCTTTCTTTCTTGCTCTCTGACTCTCTCCTCCAGCCCCCATCCCCTTGTTTCTGTCTGATGAGTGTGACAGGAGGTGACGGTCCCTTTAACAGCAGCTGTTACACTTTCTGCAGTGGGGCTCAAAGTCAGGCTCCAAAGTCAATGTAAACCCAGATCTGTAGCATCGAGCTTAATGATTAAACAGCGTCCTGTCTGAGACAGTAAGGGATTGAGGGGAAAGTTTTGACTGATTTAGAACTCTGAATGTGCATTTGATGATTAGAATCATGATGGAAAGCGAGATGATGGTTAGACCTAGGATTGTTTTCCTGAGAGCAGACAAGGCTGATCGAGGGAACTGACTGAGTTGGACAAAATTTCAAGTTTGTAGATAAGGATAAATCAAGATAAATCCTTCCTCCTTCCCTTGACCTGCTCTTGGGAAATAAGGCAGAGCAAGTGACTGAAGTGTTAGTGGGGGAGCACTTTGGTGCCAGTGATCATAATTCTGTTAGCTTCGATTTTTTTTATTTATTGATGGGATGAGGGCATCACTGACTAGTTCAGCATTTATTGCCCAGACAACTGTTTAAGAGTCAACCACATTGGCTGTGGGTCTGGGGTGACATATAGGCCAGACCAGGTAAGGATGGCAGTCCTTCCCTAAAGGACAGGTGGGTTTTTCCCCCCTGACAAGCAATTCATGGTCATCATTAGACTCTTAATTCCAGATTTTTCTTAAATTCAAATTCTACCATCTGCTGTGGTGGGATTCAAGCCCAGGTCCCCAGAACATTATCTGGGTCTCTGGATTAACAGGCCAGCGATAGTACCACTAGGCCATTGCCTCCCCACTAGCCACAGAAAAGGATAGATCTTGTAGAAAAGTTAACGTTCTTACTTGGACGAAGGCCAATTTTGATGGTACGAGGCAGGAACGTTCAAGAGGTGACTGGAGTAGACTGTTTGCAGGTAAAGAGATGGCTGATGAGTGGGAGGCTTTCAAAAGTGAGATTACAAGAGTTCAGAGGCTGCATGTTCCTGTTAGAGTGAGGGGTAAGGGTAGGGAGCAATGGATGAATAAAGATACTGAGGCTTTGGGCAAGAATTAGAAACAGGCGAACATTAGGTATTGGGATCAAGTGAATCTCTTGAAGAGTATAAGGCTTGTAGGGGCATTGTTAAGGGGAACATCAGGAAGGCGAAGAGGGGATGTGAGATAACTTCGGCAGATAAGGTTAAGGATAACCCAAAAAAATTCTACAAATACATTAAGTGCAAAAGAGCAATCTGGGAGAGAATAGGACCCCTTAAAGATTAATGAGGTCATCTACACGTGGAACCGCAGGAGATGGGAGAGATCTAAATGAATATTTCCTGTCAGATTTTACTGTGGACAAAGAAATGGAGGCGAGGGAACTCAGGGAAATAAATACTGATGTATTGAAAGCAGAGATAGTGGGAACTGCCGATGCTGGAGAATCTGAGATAACAAGGTGTAGAGCTTCTTCTGAAGAAAGGGTCTAGACCCAAAACGTCAGCTTTCCTGCTCCTCTGATGCTGCTTGGCCTGCTGTGTTCATCCAGCTCTACACCTTGTTATCTCTGTATTGAAAGCAGTTCACATTACAGAAGGGGAAGTGCTGCAGGTCTTAAAAAACACAAAGGTGGATAAATGTCCGGGACCTGATTAAGTGTATCCCAGGACATTGTGGGGAGTTAGGCAAGAAATTGTGGGGCCCCCCTAGCAAAGATATTTGTATCATCTACAGGCACAGGTGAGGTGCCGGAGGACTGGAGGGTGGCTAATGGTGTGTCTTTATTTAAGAAAGGCTGTAAGGAGAAGCCTGGGAACTATAGACCTTTGAGTTTTACATCAGTGGTGGGTAAGTTATTGGAAGGGATTCTGAGGGACAGGATTTATACGCATTTGGAGAGGCAAGGACTGGTTAGGAATAGTCAGTGTCACTGTGTTTGTGGGAAATCGTGTCTCACAAACTGGATTGAGTTTTTTTGAGGATGCAAGCGAAAGGATAGATGAGGGGAGAGCGGTCGATGTTGTCTACATGGACTTTAGTAAAGCCTTCGACAAGGTTCCACATGGTAGATTAATTAGTAAAGTTAGATCAGGTGTGATTCAGGGAGATCTGGCCAATTCGATACAAAATTGGTTTCATGGTTTGATACAGAGGGTGGTGGTGGAGGCCTGTGACCTGTGGTGTTTTTTATCAGTAATATAAATGATTTAGATGAGAATGTAGGAGGCATGCTTAGTAAGTTTGCAGATGATATTAACATCGATGGTATAGTCAACAGTGAAGAAGGTTATCTAAGATTATAAAAGGATCTGGATCAATTGGGCCAATGGGCTGAGGAGTGGCAGAAGGAGTTTAATAATGCGAGGTATTGCATTCTGGTAAAACAAACAAGGGCAGGATTTCTACAGTTAATGGTAGGGCCCTGGGTTGTGTTGTCAAACAGAGAGACCTAGGGGTTCAGGTACATAGTTCTTTGAAAGTTGCATCACAGGTAGACAGGGTGGTTAAGAAGGCGTTTAGCATGTGTGCCTTTATTGCTCAGATCTTTGAGTATAGGAGCTGGGACACCATGCAAAGGTTGTACAGGACACTGGTGAGGCCATTTTTGAGGTACTGTTGACAATTCTGGTCACCCTGGTATAGGAAGGATATTATTAACCTGGAGACGGTTCAGAAAAGATTTACCAGGATGTTGCCGGGAATGGAGGGTTTGGGTTATAAGGAGAGGCTGGATAGCCTGGGACTTTTTTTCACTGGAGCGTAGGAGGTTGAGGCATGACCTTATAGAGGTTTACAAAATCATGAGGGGCATGGATAGGGTGAATAACAAAAGTCTCTCCCCCAGGGTTGGGGAGTTCAAAACTAGGGAGCATATTTTTAAGGTGAGAGGAGAAAGATTTAAAAGGGATCTGAGGGGCAACTCTTTCACACAGAGGGTGGTTCATGTGTGGAATGACCTGCCAGAGGAAGTGGTGGATGTGGGCACAGCTACAATAAGTACAGGAATAGGAAAGGTTTGGAGGGATATGGGCCAGGAACAGGCAGGTGGGACTAGTTGGACCGCAGAGTCTGTTTCCATGCTGTTTGACCCTAATGCTAACGAGGGATGGGAGCGGTGGTGAGGGAAGTGGGTGTAGCAGAGTTCTAAAGTGAGGAGCAGGAGGTTTACAGGGGATTTGATCGTCAGCCAGAAGGTTTTTTTTTTACCTTTATTCACTCACAGGACAAGGGCATTGCTGGCTAGGCAGCATTTATTGCCCATCCCTAATTGCCCAGAGGGCAGTTAAGCATCAACCACATCATTGTGGGTCTGGAGTCACATGTAGGCCAGACCAGGTAAGGATGGCAGTTTCCTTCCCTAAAGGGCATTAGTGAACCAGATGGGATTTTCCAACAATTGGCAATGGATTCACAGTCATCATTAGATTCTTAATTCCAGATATTTATTGAATTCAAATTCCACCACCTGCTGTGGCAGGATTCGAACCCAGGTCCCCAGAACATTACCTGGGTCTCTGTATTAACAGTCCAGCGATAGTACCACTAGGCCATCACCTCCCCACCAGGACGTTGGGGATCTGCCTGAAAGGGTGGTATAACCTGGAACCCTCAAGACACGCCTATAGAGATCAGCATTCGGAAGGCCAACGCACACAGGACGCTGGCTCAAAAGCTTCGAAAAAGGGGTTAGAATAGAGAGGAGCTGGTACAGACACAATGGGCCAAAGGGCCTCTTCCTGCGCCAGAACCAATTCAGTGATTCTGTGACGATGAGGTGTGTTGGAGTATAGTTAGATCGCAGCTGAAGCCATAAATGCAGTGTCCCTTTAAGAAGCCATTATCCCTTTAAAATGACAATTCGACCTTGAATAAGATTGTGCGCTGTTTATGAGACAGGGACCCTTTAAGAAGCTTGAGTCCCTTTGAAAAGACTGTGCAGCTTTCAGAGGACAGTTCACCTTTAGAGAAGGCAGGGCCTCTTTAAGAAGTCAATTCCCCTGGGAAATAAGATGGTGTCACTTTAAGTAGCTGGCCCTGGGCCATGAGACTTGGCAACTAACAGCCAAAAGCAAGTGAACACATCAACAATCTGACTAAGGTACAATACCGAGAAATCACATGGGACATAAGCTTTAAGCAATGCTTTTGTTAATGAGGGCTGATGCTGGACTGACAAGAAAATTACTGTGATAAGTTCGGAAATCAGAGGGGCCAGGCAGGATTTGAAATATCGAAGGGTATGCAACAACACTGTGCACTTACGTAGCACCTGTGCAGTAGCAAAGTGACCCCAGGGGGGTGTTCTAGGCTCGA